CGGGACTGACCGGGCTCCCAACGCAGAGGAGGGCTGGCGTTCCCAGCGTCCCCTTCGCGGCCAACTTCACTCTCACAGCTCGGCCCCTCCCTGCGCGCCTCCTACGCGGCTTTATTAAGGTGTAACTGACAAATAAAACCAGCACCGGCGTCCACGTCCACGCCGTAGCTGCAAACACTAGAGAAGGAAAACCGTGTGATCCAATTGCATCGAGGCCCCGAGCCGGGTGGGCTCCGCTTATCCTGCAAAGGCGGAGACTAGCGGAAGGCGGAAAGTACTGGAGACACCTGAGCTCCAAGAGGAAGCTTTCTCCGGGAGGACCGGAAGGAAAACTTACCAGGAAATGTTCTTCTCACCGTCGCCCGCCCTGCCACCGTTAAGTCCCCCGGGCCCCAGGGGGGACACGAAGCCCACGCCTTGGGAGAGGCTGTGTGAGCCCATTCTTTCACGACAAACAGGATACTGACAGCCACGTGCAGCCACGATTTCGTGGCGACAGCTGCTCCCAATTGCTTCATTTGTCACGAGGAGCGGCGAAGCGGGAGCGGGGGTGGGGAGGGTGGGGGGGACTTGGATTCGGAGGGGACTGGGCTGCCCCTTGCCCGACTGGCCCCTGCTCCAGATCCACAGCCCTGAATCCTCCCCGATAGCGGGTCCCAGGAATAATCTAGTAACAAACCAATTCAGCAAGCGTGGCACCATAGGATCGGTTTCTTTCTAACAGACATTGAATAGGGACTTCACCTCTTAGCAGAGACAGAGAGAAAGAGAGGGAGGGAGAGACAAAGACGCTGGTACGCAGGTGGGTCTGCGTGGGCCGTGACTGATGGCATTTTCTAACAGGTGATACACAGCGAGCCTCCCCCGATATCCTAGATCTCCTCCACCCGTGGCACCGGCAGTGCTGTACCCTCAGTCACTTAATCCCCGGGGTTTTTTTTCCTACGACCCCCTAAGGAGATCAGAAGAAACTGGAAGAGGGAGGTTTGCAGGGGGGGACTTCCTATCCACCCACATACCCTCAATTCCCAATCCCACGTGCAGTCTGACCCTTTGTTACACGCTGCTTTGCCCTGGGACCTCATTGTCTCACTGTTGGCGTCCCACCTGCAGGCTTCGGGGACCGAGGACTGTCCACCTGGAGGGGATGCCATGGAAGAGGGGCATCCAGGCCCACCCGAGAGAGAGAAAGCTGGATCAAAAGCTGGTCAAACCTCCTAAGCCTATGAACTTGGCCCCTGACTTGCCAGGAAGTCTCTTAGGAGCAACAGAGCAAGCACTCAGGAAATGCTTGGTGACTTGAAGTTGCCTACCCGGAGGCTCTGGAAGCCTCTCTGGGGAGGGGGAGGGGAGGTCTCTAGGGTAGCTCAGAAATTCAGAGCATAGGTGTGGCAGGGGCCTTCCCCTGTGCGGGCCTTGGTTTTAGTCATCCATGAAATGGGGGTGAAAATTCTCAAGTCCAAACCTTGACGTGAGAGATGAAGCGTGAGATCCGTGCTCGGTGAGTGGCAGCCCTCTGCGTTCCTGGTTCCTGCGAGGTGTGCCTCATGGATCAGGGGCCCCCGTGAGGCCTAGGCCAAGCAGGACAATTCAGTGCAGGTGGGGCATTCGGGAGTTGGGGTCCAGGCTGGAGCACCCAGCAGGAGCCACGAGACAGGCCCCCCCCACAACCGCCAGCATCTTTGAGGACAGACACGCCATCTTGGTGACCGTGCATCCCCAGCACCGAGCACGGGGCCTGGCACAAAGTAGGTTCTCGGCATGGGCAACCACCTTTCTGTGGTGGGGGAGGGGCGCTTCTGCTCGTGCAATGAGCTCACCTTGAAAGAAGGACAGAGTTCCTCAGACATCACTGAGTGCCAGTGTTGTGCCCAGCTCTGCTCTGGGTATCGGGGGGGGGGGCACCAGTGTTCAAGGCACAGCCCCTACCCTTGTGGAGTTCGCTCTCTGGTCAGGGAGGGAGGATCTCGGGCTGAGAAAGGACCCACAGATCATCTAGTTCAACTTCAATCCAACGCCCAACGTTCTAGATGCCACACCTGCCCTGACTCGACGTGCTTGCCTCCGGTGACGGGGAGCTCACTCTGTCCCAGAGTGGGGCTGCCCTTGCCTTTCCCTGACAATCGTCTACTCAGGCCTGTAGGCCCAGTTAGAAGGTCAGCCTCAGGCCTGAGCATTCCCCACGATTAGAACAAACCCGCTTCCTCAGGGGGAAAGAAATCGACCCCCTGTAACTTCCGCCCCTTAGATCCACAGGAAACTGTTGCATTTCTCTCCCGTGTCACACATCAGAGGGATGACCCCCTCATCCTGCCCGAGCTGCGGCTTCTCCAGCCAAGCACCCCCTTTCCTCCAGCTGTTCCACACTGCCCCCCCGCCCCCACCCGGAGCTCTGTGAACAGGACCCCGGGCTCACCTTCTCAGTGCAGAGATCCACGCACTTGTCCACGGACATGTTCGGCATGGCGGCTGTCACGGGCAAGGCCAGGGAGAGGTTGTCGGGCCTGCGGAAGCAGCCTCGGAAGACAGCGCTTCCATCTGGAGGGCCAGAGGGAAAAGCAGTGGTCAGATCTCAGCTTGGCAAACCACTTTCTAAAGAAAGGTGCTTTCATGTATTTTTTAATGTTTGCTTATTTTGAGAGAGGGTGAGAGAGCATGTGCCTGTGAGCGAGGGAGGGGCACAGAGACAGGGAGAGAGAGAATCCCAAGCAGGCTCCGCAGTGTCAGCTCACAGTCCAACTTGGGGCTCGAACTCACGAACTGAGATCACGACGGAGCCCAGATCACGGGTCAGACGCTTAACTGACTGAGCCAGCCAGGTGCCCCGAAAAGTGCTTTTAAATCGAAGCCCAGAGAAGGCAACAGTCTTGCCCAAGGTCACACAGTGTACCAGAGTGGAGACGGATCGGCTACATAATTCAAAGTCTTCTCAACCCTGGCATCTTTGTCAACGGTCCCACGATGTTCCTGTGGGGCCCTATTGCCCCCTTTTGTCAGCATTCCTGTGCCTTATTCATCCTCCACAACGGTCACCCCCCATTCAGGGATGATATACGCCATGGAGGATTTTCGTGATCCCCTCAGGAGACGGCTGCTCGAAGACCGAGGGAAGCAAAGTACCCAGGGCTATCTTCTCCCTCCCATCATCCTCTGCCCACCCAGTGCTGAGCACCTACAGGTTACGAGGGACTGATCTGCCGGAGGGACCGCCTTTAAGATAACCCGATCAGGCACACAACAGGGAATTCGGAGGCCGCACAGTCACCCCAAAGCAACAGGCAGCGATGGTACCTGAGGCCCGGTTTGCCACGAGCAGGACCTGAGACAGTGTTTTCTTGAGGTGTGCTCTCAGGAGAGGGGGGCGGGGGAGAAGCAGGGCAGGAACCGAGCAAGGATGTCACCTCGGCTGGGTCCCACCCAAGCACGGACGACAAGCCGTGCCACAGCCAGTCCCACTGCAAGGAAAGGGGCCCGGCCTTGGCCGTGTGTCCCCCCTTCCCCGCCGCGCATCAGATATTGGCCGCGGGACACAACGTCCCGGGAGAGCCCGCTCCTCTGGGGCCAAGGTTTATTTTCGCACAAGTGGGCAGACGTGAACCACTGGCTGCTGGCAGTCACTGCAGGGAAAGGGGACGTGGGCGGGCCCCTGTGGCACCCA